GCAGTAGGCACACTCAGTATCCTGTTTAATTGAAACTTTCTAATAATTGAAAAGTTGTGTAGATACCGACAGTTTCACTACAATATAAATAAACATGTAAAAATAAAATTGTAATTCTTACAATTCTTAAAGTTTAAAAACTAATCAACAAACATAATAATTAAAATTTATATATCAAAATCATATATATGTACTACCACGCAATTCAAGGTAAAAATTAAGTAATACTTGATCAACCCATTAGGTTGTGGTTTCATATAGTAGTTATGTGGATAATGGTATTTTAGAACTCAATTTTCGGGCTTACAGAAAAAGAGACTTGCAAGTACTGATGGGTTAGCTACAATGTAAATAACTATATAGATATTATTTATACAAAGTTATTTTAAATAAAAATTTACTAAAACATTGTAAATTTGATTTTAAAAAATCTATTCTAAAAGGATTACATTGCTAAATATGTTCATAAGTCATAAAATTACCAGGTTTATCTAAAAGTAAAGGAGTTTTATATAAAAGATATAGATTTAGACATCTTAGTTGATTGGTCCATTCTAGAGTCTTTTGGTAAAGTAGTCACACTTAATTTGAATAAAGATATCTTAGAATCCGATTTAATGCTTGAGACAAGGTGGCTGTGGAAGTGGTGATGGTTTAACTAAAATATAAATCCGAGTGTATATTGTCTGAGATATGTTCATTACAATTATTATTAGTCTTCAAAGATGTAAAGTAGGATAACTTTAAGACGTGTTTTGAGACGTCTAAAAGACGTGAATTTAGGACGTTCAGAACTAGTGCTAAATGGAAACGCCGAATGACGTCTTTAAATAACCTAATTTAGACGTTCTTATTTCGACGTCTAAAATACGTGTTCTAACATGGCTTTACTTAAACGTAAGGTATAAATTTATGTTTTCACAGAACTTCTTGAGAATAAGAAAAAATAATAAATCATTTATAATTTTTAATAATATAATTGTGCTGAATTTTATAAATTACAACTTTGTAAACTTCTTCTTCAACTTGTTAATTTCCAAGAATCGAATTTTCGAACAGTTAACGTCATTCACCTTCTTTTCGATCAGATGCACTCTTTAAAATATTGCCGCCAGCATTTTAAAGTTTTTTTTTTGCTGTAGGAATCAGGGAAGCAGTCTTAACCTTAAAAAAATATTGTTAAGATAAGTATGTAAAAATAAAGGGGAAAGAAATAAGTAACACACACATATATATAATTATTATTTTATAAACATAACATCAAACATCAAAAAATACGAATTTCTCAACACTAAATTTATTTTTTTAAAGAAATTTTGGACTGGATTGTTGTGACCAGCGTATATATTTATGTATATCAAGTATCCAATATAATTGCGGTATTAAAAATGCTTTTTTTATAGTAAAATTATACTTACTTTGAAAGCATGCCCTTCTCAAATGCACTGCATGATGAGCCACCAACATTTAATAACTTCTATTTCCAAATTCAAAAGATAACACTAGTGTAACTGATATGGGACAATTTAGTGTAAGTTATATTGGGCATAGGAGCAATTCCTTAGTGTTTTATTCAATTCAAAAATTTTGTGTAAATTATGTTTATTTGTAAAGTGAGCATTATGTATATAATTACAGATCAAAATTTTTTATGCAATTTACCCATATAAAAAAAAAACTAAACATTTAACCATAATAAAAAATATACTACTTTTTGCAACATTAGTATCGAGAAATGATTGATCACATTCAAGAAACTTGGCGATAGAATTATACTAGTAAAGATCAAAACTATTCTCAACTTTAAACGTTTTTTATATTTGATTATTCTTACGATAAGTAAGTAAATGAATTAAAGACTATATATTAGTTAATTAAAAAACAATATGCTATTATAGTTTATATATAAATCATAATAGAAAAAATATATATTACATCCTCGCTTCCAACAAGGCTGCGAACAACCATATAAGAGTTTGGAAGTTATTGTAACAGAAAAGATTAAGTTCGTAGAGCAAGATAACGATTGACAGATGAATTAAAAGATTGTAAATTATATGAATCAGGGAAGCAAGATGAAGGAAGCAAATTCCAAAAGAACTGATGTTCGAAGAAAAAAAACTAGCTTTAGAGCAGTGCCCATTGTAGTATTTGTAGAAAAAAGAAAAAGAAGCAAGATCACGACGATGTGACAATGGTTGGAGATTGGCTGCACAAGCCGGTCCAACTATGTTTACAATGCGTTTTTGCACCTTGTCTAAAAGAGAAAGGGCATCAGAAGATCTGCCCCAGATATGGCAACAGTATTCCATACAGGGACGGATTTGAGATTTATAGAGATAGAGAAAAGAATCTAGAGAGTAAAGAAGTGTCGAGCTCGACAAAGAGATGCAACCTTAGCATTTAAACAATTTAAAATGTATTCTACAAAAAGAGTGCTCAATGTTCTTAAAAGAACAGAGCAATTACAAATTAGTAGAAAATCACTTAGCAAAATTTTTTCTCATTCAAATGAGAAAAAATTTTGCTAAGTGATTTTCTACTAATTTTTATATATATATATATATATATATATATATATATATATATATATATATATATATATATATATATATATATATATATATATATTTATATACATATGTATATATATATATATATATATATATATATATATATATATATATATATATATATATATATATATATATATATATATATATATATATATATATATATATAACTAACTTAAAATTTTACTAACTATATCTTTTGAAAGGAAGTTCTTAAATGTTCTTTTTTTCTTGCTGAATTGACTAGGTACCTATTTTGAGTATTGAGAAGTATTAAAAATATTAATTTATAAAGATAAAAGGCCTAGATAGTTGAAATACCTTCCAAGATAGTTATTAGAAGAAAAAACATTCCTTACATTAATCTTTGTAAAACTTTAAGATTTATCATTGACTTCATATATTTTCTTTAACTTTGTTTTGGGAAAAGCAAAATTTTGAATCACAGAATTTGAAAAATTTTGGAGGAGCTGTATGAATTAAAGAAGTTGTTACTAATAAAAATTCATTAGGCATATTACATAAAATAAATTATATTACATTAACCATTACATAAAATGAACTATAGCCAAATCCGTTGTTTTATTTTTTTAAAACCGAAGGCAAAAATAAAAATGAACTTTAGAGTTAAATACATTTAATCAAATCAAATTTCTTTAATTTAAATCAAAATTAGATTCAAAAACTACAAACACATCTACTCTAGATTCCTAAACGCATATTTAATAAATACAATATGAGTTTTTAAATACAAAACAAAAATGTAACATAATATTACCAAATACAAACATGTATTTGACCAAAACATATATATCAACTGACACTTGATGTAGTTGACGCTCCTAAAAATAAAATATTAAATAACAAGTAAATAAAATTTATAGATAAAGTAAAAAATATTCTTACAAATGTTATTTTTTTTGCATTAGCATTTTTTATTTTTATTTTTTTAAATTTTTCTGTTCAACTTTAAATTGTATCTAATTGATGTTTTACACTATCTATTTCTAAATTTTAACTAATACTTCAAGTTCTACTAATTTTAACTAATAATAACTAATAGTTCTAAATTTTAATTAATTCTAATAATTTTAAATTTTAGCAAAACTAATTTTTATTTTATTTGACATACATTTTGTATTTTTACTTTTAAAACTGACGCTATAAGTAAGGATTTTAAGGAAACATTTTTCTATTATTTAAATAGATTTGGTCACGAAAGTCAAATTTTTGAAAGAAAAAATAGCAGAATTAAGGAGAAAATAAGTACATTGAAAACAGAATCTTATTTTTTTCAATAAATTTTAAATAAAAACAGAAAAATTATTATAAATTAACATATTACTTGTATATATATATATATATATATATATATATATATATATATATATATATATATATATATATATATATATATATATATATATATATATATATATATATATATATATATATACTATAGCAGTTTTTAACAACGCTATAGTATAGCGTTGCTAAAAACCAAACAGAAATAATATATATATAAATTTATGCGGATTTCAGAAAATTATGTAATAAAACTATATATATTATTGTTCAAACCATGTTAACTTTTCTACTAAAGAGAAAATAAATGATACAATATAATAATCTATCATTTCAGGCATAAGTAAATATTTTTTCTCTTTAGTGGTTATCATATAGGAGTATGAATAATACTTAAATTTTTAAAAACAATTTTTAGTTTACATTAAAAGCCTTTACTGAAGATCCATTATATAAATATTTCAACCTCACGAATTTTAATTGGCACTGACTGCACTAAAAGTATAAATATTATAACATTGCTATTCGATCAATATAACATCTATCATAAACAAACAGATGTTAGGTCTTAATATAAACAAAAAATAATAATTTTATTTAGTTATTTAAAAAGTAGTTACGACTTAAAATACATAATTTTCCTCTAAAACTTTTAGAGAAAATTTATGCATTTTAAGTAATAACTATTTTAGCGTTGTTAAAAACCAAACAGAAAAAATAATTTAAGAAATAGTTTAAAAAAATGCAGACACTGATACTTTTTTGAAACTACTGCTACTTTTTTGAAACTGCTATTTTAGTAGTTATAACTAAAAAAAAAAAGAATTATATAAAAATACATTGTTACTGTGCTTAAAATTACTTTTATTCGCTCATACAATATTATCGGAGAACTTACAGGACTTTTTAACTCCTTCATTAGCCACCCCAACGGGCATTTGTTGGTTTAAAATTGGTTTAGATCACGTCCCAACGGGCATTTGTTGGTTTAAAATTGGTTTAGATCACGTTTAGATGGCATTTACGTCGATCTAAGCGTTTAGGAATCTATTCTAAACGTGTTCTGAATATGTAATCTGCGTTGAAAAGCTAAATCAAACAAATTCCGTACGGAACCAACTTAATTCACACATAATGTGTCGGACATTTTGAATCTTTCATTAGGATTAAAAAATAGAACTTCTTATGAATCTTAAATTATGTAATAAATAGTTTAGAAGAGATAAAAAAAATTTGTTTTTAGTATTATATCGTGGTTAACGAAGCAGCTAAAAAGTCCTGTAAGTTTTTCGATAATATTGTATAAGCGATTAAAAGTAATTTTAAGTACAGTATCAATGTATTTTGATAATTCTTTTTTTATTTATTGCTACTAAATAAAGAATTTTCTTGCTTTATTTATTGCTACTAAATAAAGCAGTTTTTAACAAGGCTATAGTATAGCGTTGTTAAAAACCAAACAGAAAAAACAACTTAAGAAATATTTAAAAAAAATGCTAAAACTGATATTTTTTTGAAATTACTGCTAATTCTTTGAAACTGCTTTATTTAGTAGCAATAAATAAATAAAGAATTATCAAAATACATTGTTCTATATCGTTCTATAGCCTATAGAACGTCTATAGTTAACTCTTAGCTTCCTAATTTTTCTACTTTTACTAAAAGTAGAAAAATTATGAAAAGTAGTTGCCACTTAAAATGCATTAATTTTCTCTAAAGGTTTCAGAGAAAAATTATGCATTTTAAGTGGTAACTACTTTTTAAAAAAGTAAATAAAATTATTATTGTTTGTTTATATTAAGACCTAACATCTACTTGTTTATGATAGATGTTATATTGATCGAATAGCAATGTTATAATATTTATACTTTTAGAACAGTCACTGCCAATCAAAAATTATGAGGTTCAAATATTTATATAATGGATCTTCAGTTTTAGTTTAGGCTTTTAGTGTGAACTAAAAAATATTTTTAAAAGTTTAAGTATCATTCAAACCTATGATAATCACTAAAGAGAAAATAAAGTTACTTACCACTGATATTATAGATTATTATATTGTATCATTTATTTTCTCTTTAGTAGAAAAGTTAACATGGTCCGAACAATAATATAGTTATATTACATAGTTATATTATATTTCTAAAATCTGCGCAAATATTTTTTTTATTGTTAATTAAGTTTTGCGTGTTTTTATTTAATATTTTATATATAGTCCAGTCAGTTGCAACAATAATTAAAGCAGCAGGAAACAGCCAACTACACATGCAAGTGGTAAATTGACTTTTTGTAACATTTTTACTCATTTAAAATTTAGATTTTCCTAAAATAATAATTAAGTTAATGGCTATTTCTGTAAAGATCATTCTGTAAATAAAAACTGGAGTGTTTTTAAAACTTATAGTTATTTTTTGAGTCGAAATATATAGTATGTATATGTATATCTCTTATATGTATATAATTATTTTTATTCAAAAAATGTTACTTTATTAATTATTTATATATATATATATATATATATATATATATATATTACTTTTTAATTTTATTTGTCATTGCTTTGGATAAGATGTTTTATTATTCCTTTTACAGATTGTTATGAGGATTGCAAAAGTTTTAAATAACAGAAACTAAAGAAGGCATTGATAATCAGCAGATAATAAAAAAAGCAAAAGTACTGATTATACAAATCATTTAGAGGTTTCACTTTAATTTTTAATGTTTATATAGAAACTAATAATATAAAAACTGAAAATAATAACATATAATTATTCCATAATTGCGCGTTACTCTAATCTAAATTTGTTTTTTATTTCAATTTCTTTGGAGTTCATATTTCTAGTTTAATGCAATTACAGTAGAAATGGTTAATTATGGAAAAATGGCACTAAAATTTAAATAAATCGCATGTTAAAGTAAATAATTATATATATATATATATATATATATATATATATATATATATATATATATATATATATATATATATATTAGAAATTTAAAAATAATAGTTTTATTTAGTTTCTTCTAATTTTTATGTAAAAAAAAAAAAGAAGCAAGTTTTAATTAGTAAATGATTAATCATTTTTACGGTAAAGTAAAACAGTTTTTTTTTTTTAGTTGAGGAAGAATTTTAGGTTAATGCTAATGCAAAAGGTACGAATATTAATAATTTAGCTGATTTGACATTACAATAAACATAAAATAAAGTGTGTGAAGACCTAAGTGCTAGAAAGACTTCCATGCATTAAGTTAAGATTATGCAAGTAAGTTGTCTTACTTTTATATTTGAAGACTAATAATAATTGTAATGAACATATCTTAAACAGTATACACTCGGATTTACATTTTAGTTAAACGATCACTACTTCCACAGCCACCTTGTCTCAAGGATTCGATTGCATTCTAAGATATTTTTATTCGAATCAAGTGTGACTACTATACCAAAAGACTGTAGAGTGGAGCAATCAAGTAAGATGTCTAAATTTATATATTTTATATAAAACTCCTTTACTTTTAGATAAACCTGTTAATTTTATGACTGATAAGCATATTTAGCAATGTAATACTTTTAGGAAAGACTTTCTAAAATCAAATTTACAATGCTTTAGTAAATTTTTATTTAAAATAACTTTGTATACTTAATATATTTATATAGTTATATACATTTTAGCTAACCCATCAGTACTTGCAAAGTCTCCTTTTCTGTTAGCTCAAAAATTGAGTTCTAAAATACCATTATTCACATAACTACTATATCAAAGCACAAACTAATGGATTGATCATGTAATACTTAATTTTTAGCTTGAGTTGCGTGTTAGTACATATATGATTTTGATATATAAATTTTAATTAAAATGTTTATAGATTAGTTTTCAACTTTAAGAATTTTAGGAATTACAATTTTATTTTTACATGTTTATTTATATTGTAGTGAAACTGTCGGTATCTCCACAACTTTTTAATTAAATAGAAAGTTCCAATCAAACAGAATACTGAGTGTGTGTGTATATATATATATATATATATATATATATATATATATATATATATATATATATATATATATATTATATATATATACATAAATATATATATATATATATATATATATATATATATATATATATATATATATATATATATATATATATATATATATATATATATATATATATATATATGTATGTATGTATGTATATATATATGCTGTACAGTTATTGTTATAAAATAATAGAATACTATATAATATATGTTCTTCTATATTCTATAAAACTATGGATTCATAAATGTTAAATGGGTTGTTAAAGAAATGATTTATATGAATAAAATAATGATGTTTATTGAGTTATTTTTATTATTTTTAGAAAAAAGATTGTATGACTTCGGTATCCGTAATATGGTATCATGCATTGGTTCTTATCTTAGAATGGCTCCCTTCCGTATAGGTAGAAATACGAAAGGTTATGTCCTTTTTTCCAATTCTTAAGACAAAGAGGCTTAATCAGTTCAACCAAAGATGACAATAATCATTATAGAGCCTATCATGATGACGAATACGATAATGCATATAATGATAAAAAAAAAAATGATTTTACTTGTATTTTAGACTTATATTATTAAAAAATTATCTGTTTAATGTTTGATTTGTTTTTGAGTATTTAGATAATGCGTTCAGCGTTTAACATTTCAGTACGGTACTTATTTAAAGCAGCTTAATTAAATGAAAAGTTTGATTCGTTTATCAGTATTTTTAATTTATTTATGCTTCTTTAAATAAGCGCCGTAAAATAAAGTTAAACGTCGCGAAGTTTTAAAAGAAAAATTCAGATGGAGTTTAAATAGCGTTTAAAACGAACTACTTAGATATGGTTTAAATGGAACGTTGGATTGATCTACGTTCTAAATCGAAATTAAATTAAATCTAAACATTTAGAACGAACATTAACTAAACGTTGATTAAACGTTCGAATGCCCGTTCGGGTTTAGATGGCATTTACGTCGACCTAAACGTTTAGGAATTTATTCTTAACGTGTTCTGAATATTTAAGCTGCGTTGAAAAGCTAAATCAATTAATTTCCGTACGGAACCATCTTAATTCAGACATAATGTGTCGGATACTTTGAATCTTTCATAATGATTAAAAATTAGATCTTTTTATGAATCATAAATTATGTAATAAGTGGTTTAGAAGAGATAAAAGAAATTTGTTTTTAGTATTATAATGTGCTTAATGAAGCAGCTAAAAAGTCCTGTGAGTTTTTCGATAATATTGTATAAGCGATTAAAAGTAACTTTAAGTACAGTAACAATGTATTTTGATAATTCTTTATTTAGTTATTGCTAATAAAATAACAGTTTTAAAAAATTAGCAGTAATTTCAATAAAGTATCAGTTTCAGCATGTTTTTTCTGTTTGGTTTTTAACAACGCTATAGAACGTCTATAGTTAACTCTTAACTTCCTAATTTTTCTACTTTTACTAAAAGTGGAAAAATTATGAAAAATAGTTACCAATTAAAATGCATAAATTTTCTCTAAAAGTTTTAAAGAAAAATTATGCATTTTAGACGGTAACTACTTTTTAAATAACTAAATAACATTGTTATTTTTTGTTTATATTAAGACCTAACATCGATATGTTTATTATAGATGTTATATTGATCGAATAGCAATGTTATAATATTTATACTTTTAGAGCATTCAGTGCCAATCAAAAAGTATGAGGTTCAAATATTTATATAATAGATCTTCAGTTTTAGTAAAGGCTTTAAGTGTAAACTAAAAAATATTTTTAAAAGTTTAAGTAATATTCATACTCCTATATGATAACCACTAAAGAGAAAATAAATTTACTTACCTCCGATATGATAAATTATTATATTGTATCATTTATTTTCGCTTTAGTAGAAAAGTTAACATGGTTCGAACAATAATATATTTATATTACATAGTTATATTATATTTCTAAAATCTGCGCAAATTTTTTTTATTGTTAATTAAGTTTTGCATGTTTAATTTCATTTAATTTTTTATATACAATCCAGTCAGTTGCAACAACAATTAAAGCAGCAGGAAACAGCCATGTACAAATGCAAGTGGTAAATTGATTTTTTTGTGACATCTTTACTACTTTAAAATTTAGATTTTCCTAAAATAATAAATAAGTTGATGGCTATTTCTGTAAAGATAATTCTGTAAATAAAAACTGCAGTGTTTTTTAAACTTGTAATTACTTTTTTAGTAATCACTAGATAAACTGCAAACTCTGTACTTTTAAATATGATTCTAAAATCTGAACATCTGTCAGATATCTATCTTTTCAATCATAATCTAATTGCTCAGGCTTATGAAAAGCTATTTATAAAAATTCACGCTTAAAAATTGATGTAAGATTAAAGGTAATTCTTGTTATATTTGAAAGGTACATTGATAATTGGTTCTAGTCTTTAAAGTTTAAATAAGTTAAAAGAGAGTTCAAATCTTATGCTAGTGAAAAGCTAGTGAAAATCTAAAAGCTAGTGAAACATTTATTGCATTATTTTTCATTTATTTTATTATGTTATAAAAGACTTACCAAGCTTGAAATTTTATGGGTCGAAGTATATAGTATGTATATGTATATCATCCCTTGGAATTAGGAAAACTAAAGTTACCAAAAACAGCTTAAAAACTAGACGGCTAAACTTATTTAAAACATTTTTAACAAGTTTACTTACAAATTAATGTTATGTGTTGATGTACCATCAACCAAATTAGTGTTAACATTTTAGCAAAATGTCATATTGCCAGGCTGTTTGGTTGGAAGAACCAAAAGCTTGATATTTTATTGAATTGTTATTTTAATTTGTGATATTATAATTTTTATTCACAAAATGTTAAATAATTTACTTTTTAAATTTATTTGTCATTGCTTTGGATAAGATGTTTTGTTATTCCTTTTACAGACAATAAGGATTTCAAAAGTTTTAAATATCAGAAACTGAAAAAGGAATTGATAATTAGCAGATAACAAAAAAGCGCAAAAGTACTGATTATACACCTTTTTAAAGGTTTCATTTTAACTTATTAATGTTTATATAAAAACTAATAATATATAATCTGAAAATAATAACATAATTAATCCATAATTGTGCATTATTCTAATCTAATTTTTTTTTTTTTTCAATTTCTTCAGAGTTAATATTACTACTTTAATGCAATAACAGTAGAAATGATTATGGAAAAATTAAACTAAAAATTAAATAAATCGCTTGTTAAAGCAAATAATATTATATATATATATATATATATATATATATATATATATATATATATATATATATATATATATATATATACATATATATATATATATATATATATATATATATATATATATATATATATATATATATATATATATATATATATATTATAAAATAATAGTTTTATTTAGTTTGTTCTAATTTTTATTTAAAGAAGCAAGTTTTAATTAGTAAATGAATAGCCATTTTTATGATATAGTAAAATAGTTTTTATTTTTCAGTTGAGGAAGAATTTTATGTGGAATTTTAATGCAAAAGGTACGAATATTGACAGGTTAGCTAATTTGATGTTACAATAAACATGAAATAAAGTTTGTGAAGACCTTACCCAGCCGGCACATCTAGTTTCTGACACGTGTTTTCAACTCTTGTTTGTGACGTGTTGAGAACGGTCGCCTGTAACTCGGTTTCACGTGTTTAAGACGTGACATCGGACACGTAAAAATCACGTAACTAATTTCGTTTCTAGCCCCTGTTGTATTTCATTTGCAACACGTGTTCGATACGAGATTACTAACCTTAAATAATCATATATGCATCAAAGCATTTATTGTAATTTTGTTTACAATTCAGTTTTCGGCAAAAATTCTTAACTTTCGCATTTTAACTAGCTAAGTTTAGAATTTTCGAATTTAAAAAGAGAGAAAAGAAAGTAATAAGAACGATAATGGGTTATTACTGTTATTCAATTGCTTTACACTTTTTGAAATTATGTAAAAACTGTGACAGCAATGCGATTTGTATTATATTCAAACTTCATTGGAATCGCAAATTATCGATATATTGCTTTTTAATTGAATAAATTACTTTTTGAATTATTCAAGTTTAATAGTAATGCGACTGACTCGTTAAATTTGTGATGTAAATCCTGTTTTTTAAACATTACTGAAAAAAGTAATGCATACGAATTGAGTAAAAGAACTTATCAAAATGACAAACTAATAAATAACATCAGTATAGACTAATAAAGTAAAAAAAGTTTTTTAAAGTTTGTCTTCAAATGATATGTGGTACCGCTGTTCAGCTGCGACTCTTTTACGCGATTGCTTTAAACGCTCACTCATCTTCGTTTTGAGGTATGCTTCTGAACATGATTTCCACTTTTGTGTCAAAGACTTCAACATGCACATTAGTAAAGTTTCTAACTCTGTTAATGCATGGTCGGTATAGTTTTTTCCAGGTACATTATTGCCGTACATAAGATTGACTTTAACCTGGACTTTATTCGTCATTAACATATCAAAGATAGATGCAATATGCTCTTTTTCATTGTCCGCTGAAAGAGCCAAAGCGTCAAACGATAATTTTAGTTTCCGTTGAAGTTCAACGTCTGCTTTCAATTTGGCTTCAAAAGGAACAAGATCTTTAGAGTGGCTGATTCGGTTAAATAAACTATTGCCATCGTTGTCTGCGTTTTTAGTTAAAACTTCAGCTAATCGACCGAATTTTTTCTCTAATAAAACCAATCGGTGACTGATATGTGACAAAGACAACATCAATTTTTGTTTAAACTTGGCCGCTTCCAATGGGTATGCGCTATTTTTACTATTTAATCGCATTTCCCCCTCTCTATTAGATATTGTTGGTTGTGATTTTGCATTTTCTGTGACTATAAAAATGTAAGAAATATAGTGAAAACTATAAAGAAAAGTAAGAAATATAGTGAAAAAGTCTTTAGAGAATTTTCACTATATACTTCTTTTCTCTTCTATATATATTATAAAAATATATGTGTATTAGTTAATTCATTATAAAGTTGAACTAAATTCAAAAAATATTGATCAGATACTTAAACAAAGGAAACTTGATTCCATGTATTGTTCACTGTAACCAATATCATTCTCGCAGATTGTGTCTATTGTATCACCACTGGTGACAGGAAGTGATGTTAGCACTTTATCTTGCTCTAGATCCGGAACAAACGTAACAGGAAGAGATGTTAGCATTTTAGCTTGGTCTTGAACTAAAATGAAGGTATACAAGTAAATCCAAAATACGTTTTTTTTGATGAGTCAAATACAACATATATTATATATAATATATGTTTTATTTGACTCATCAAAAAAAAATTATTTTGAATTTGATCGGATTATCTTTTTAAGTTATTGAAAAAATAAAAGCAACTAGCTCATTTCAATTTTTGCATACCAACAATTTTTTATAAATTAACAATCACATATATGTGTATGACACAAGATTAAAATGTATCAATTTTTTTTTTTTTTTTACAAATATCTTAAAAAATACCTCTAACAGAAAAAAATTAGTTTAATTTTAATGCCATTTTTAGTAAAAATAAATAGTGAAAAGTTCAATTTTACATGACTTAATTGAAAATTCAAAGAGTTACATTTTGTATTGGATACATTGTATAATGAAAATCATGAGGTACATACAGTGAGATAAACATAAACTAAAAAAATAATTTGAAACTGGAAACTCTTGTGTATCTAATTAAGAGTGTGTTAAAAATATAAATTTATAAAAGAAAAAATTCTGATTATAGGTGTAAATGTTGTCAAAATTCAAGACTTACTAACAGTAAAGTCCAATATTTCCCAATTATTGATCACAGTATTACCTCTTGGTTGTATTCTATCACTATGGCAGTGTTCAATACTGGGGTATTTAACTAATTGATCGACTAAAAAGAAAAGATAAAAGAATAGACTAAAGTAAAAAAAAAGCACATATATATAATATATAACACAGACAAAAATAATTTGAAATTGAAAAATACCACAAGTATTCTCAATTGTAGATGCTGTCATGTTTTGTTTATTACTGTACTTTTTCTTGGTTATAACATCCTCTTCCATTTCATCACTACTATCTAATAATAAAAAAAGCAATAAGCTTAAATTTATTGCAAAATGAAACTTACAATACCACTGCTGAAAAGCTGACAATTAAATATTTTATATTTGGCATTTACATTTGGATAATTTTCCTTTAAATTTGTGTCATCCCTCTTTTAACTCTAACTACAAAACAGGTAATGAAAACAAAGTATACATTTTTTTCAAACTTTTCACTTTAAAGACCCGTTAACAATTAAAGTAGCGTATCTTAAGCAAGAAAACTATTTTTAACGCTTTTGCAAAATTTAAATAACTCTATAAAATTTAAGTATATGCATTTTCTAAATAACATCCTGATGATTTGTTAAACCTTGCTTTTTAAGCTCTGATTTTTTTTCAACTGGTCAATCATGACCAGCGAGAACTCATTATGGGAAGTCAAATTAGCATTTTTAGTTATTTTAGGCGTTCATTGACCGTTGACCAGTTGTTATTTTCCACGCTGTATATCTATTTAAATATATATATATATATATATATATATATATATATATATATATATATATATATATATATATATATATATAAAATAAAACACTTAATGAAACAAGTTTATAGTAAAAACTAACGTTGAAGTTAAAATTTAAAAACTTACAAACAAAACCAACATTTTGGGCTTTCTTTTTACGTCTTAAAAATCGAAATGGCTTTTTTTCTTCATCTGTACTTGGTATTCCAAGTTTTAGCTCTCTAACTAGATCTTCATATGAATCTAAATTAAAAAATTATCAATTTCTTCAACTAACAAAATGAATACTAAAAACAGTAAAAAAAAATCTTAAAAAAATAATTTATAAATTATTTATTTTAAGATAATTTATAAATCTTAAAATAAAAAATCTTAAATAAAAAATTACAAACCATTAGAACACTTAATCTTAATTAGTGGGAAAGAAAACCAAGATTTAGAAGGCTGAGTGCACAACTTTATCATCGATAGAACTGAAGTAACAGGATTTCTTGGAAAACTAACAAGTTTACTTTCAATGTCAATCCAACTACATGGAACAATGTCTTTAACAATGCTTCGTCCTTCTTCCCAAATTGCAACACAAAATTTATGCTCTGTCATTTTCAAATTAGCTGAAAGTAAAAAATATCTTTGAAAAACATCTTTTTAAATAAATTTTTTAATAACCTTTACTTGAAGTAAAAATCTCAGGAAACAAGATTTAATTTTATAGTTATAACTTTTAAATAATAACATTTATGTTTGGATAATTATATTTATAAAAATAATATTTTGATATTATCTTTTGATTTAATAAAATTTATAAAAAAATATTAAAGTTACTTAAACAATATTTTTATAAATGTTGTTATATAAAAATGTTTTATTTCTATAACAACATGTTACGTATATGCTAATTCTATAATAACATTAATATTGTTATAAGCACACACATAATTTTACTGTATACTACTTTTGAATAAGATGCATATATATGTTATAAATGAATAAGTGCCCATACATAGTAAAAACTTGTAAAATAGAGAATGGATATATTAATTAGGCTCATTATTAACTGGAAAAAATATTAGACCACTTAAATGTTTTATATAATAAAGTTTCTGATTCACATCGCACATGTGCAATGTTTTAATTTTCCATAATACACCATCAGGATCATCACAAACAAGTATTCCAAGCTGCCTGCTATTAAGAGGCGCTGAGAAAAAAGATTGCAAGTGTTTTGAATGTATGCATTTGCAAAGTAGCACTGTTTCCTTAGCACTGTCGTTGATTTCAATAACTTTACAGTATAACCCTGTATTGCTTAAAAAAGAGCTCTTCTTGTGACAGACAATTTAATGTGAAATTTTTTTTTAATGTTTTGGACCCTACAAGGAAATTTTCTTGGATGCGCTTTACAGCAGAAGCTAAGGGGTTGTTCTTGGAATTTTGTACACTCCGTTTAACTTGTTGCAAATAATTTTCAAATGGAAAGCATGAAAGATTGGAGATCTTTCATGCTTTCCATTTGAAAATTTGAGAGAACAACCATATTATTAAACATCATTGAATAAATAAAGAAGATTGTGCACATTATAAGTTACAAACGATTTTCCACAGAGCACTTTACAGTTTTGAACAAAAGCCTGCAAAAGTTCATTTGCAAAGTCCAAAAGACAAATTCTTTGTAAATCATTTTTAATATGCAGTATCATTATAGCTATTGAAAAAGCAGAAAACAATTCATACAAATCAGAAGACAGAATGTCTCTAAATACAACAATGCCAGTGTACAAAAGCAACTGACGAAATTCTGTAGCCTTCCATCTTTCTAAATGTATTAAACTTCTGGGACGTCTTGCAAACTCCGAAGGTGTGCTTTTTGCTATTTCTATTAACTTCTTAGATATGAGTTCAATATTTCCATAACTTAAACGAACATTTCGAGGTCCTGCTTTTATATAATGCATAAACTTTCTGCATACACCTAAAAAACCAAGATGCATTATGTCTAAAATAAAATGTTGAATAATGTCAAGATTATGTACTTGCAGTAAAGGGCTATTTGATTTTTTGTGCAGAGGATAAGCTCCTGCTTGAAATTGTGCATCTGTTCGAAGTGGACCAATTGGTTCTGTAAAAACAATTCGACGGTGGTAGACAATCCCAACACTTGTGCAACGCTCGCAACCATTTTTAGATGTATGTCCTGCAATACATTTAATAAATGCTCTTGCAGGAGCATCACAAATAAAAGCACGAATTTTAATATTTATATGTTTTCCATTAACATATAGTCCATATTTAATTAAATTGTTAGCATTTAACACAAAGTCACCTAAAAACTCATCAACACTACTTGGTTTACTCATACCACAGTAGATTGCCACTACAAATGGTTTTCTAAAATATTTAACAACTCTGCAAAGTATTGGCCAAAATTGTAAATTTGACGACTTATACAACGGCAAACCATCAATATTTATATCTACTTCAACACAATCATCAATATTCAACATAACTTCATTTAATGACTCACAAATACCATTTTCTAAACCAAAATAAATATATTGACCACTACATTTTTCAACATTATCAGTCCTACGAGGAGTAGACAGAAGAGTGCGTGGATCTTTTGGTATATCATTAAAAAATCTGCTACTATTTCTGAGCAATTTTTAAAGATTACAGAACTGTTCTCTAGGCAAATTACAGTTTACAGCCCACTTTGGTAAGCCATCAAGGAATTCATGTGATGTCAGTATTTCATTGCAAAGCTCTTTTTTTTTTAAAGAGTTTATGGAAGTTTTAGTTTTTAAATATTTCTGCTGATCAAAATTTTCACCAGAGGTTAGACCATATTCAATATTACTCATATAACCGTTTTTTATTGAAGCAATTGATTGATCAGGTGTGATTGGTGGCTCATCATCAGAATCGCAACTATGGTTTGAAAAATATTTATTATCTTCTGATTCCCATTGACCTTCCTCTATAGGTAACTGTCCAGATTTGGAAGCTCTCCATCTTTTCATATAATTTTTTTTAGGTTAAGGCATTTTAACCGTTTCATATTTTTAATAAAACTTATTTGTTTGATTATGCAAGTTTTATTTGTTTACATATGTAAACAAATAAAACTTGCATAATCAAACAAATACACAAACAAAATTACGTATTATACATAATATATGCATATATATATATATATATATATATATATATATATATATATATATATATATATATATATATATATATATGTATATATATATATATATATATATATATATATATATATATATATATATATATATATATATATATATATATATATATATATATATATATATATATATATATATATATATATATATGTATATATATATATATGTATATGTTGTACAGATATTGTTATAAAGTAATTAAATACTAAATAATATTGCATTACTATGTTTAGGAAGGGCACTGCAGTTGTCTTGCAGTTATGCAACTTATCAACCCATAACTGCGATAACTACAAGTTTTTTAATATATAGTTACTCAATCTACACTGTACTAATGTACAATCTTCTATAATCGATAAAACTATGGATTTATAAAGTTGTTTAATGAATGATTTATATGAATAGAATAAAGATGTTTATTGAGTTATTTTTATTATTTTTAGAAAAGAGATTGTATGACTTCGGTATCCGCAATATGGTATCGTGCATTGATTCCCATGATAGAATGGCTCTCTTCCGTATAGGTGGAAATAGGAAAGGTTATGTCCTTTTTTCCAATTCTTAAAACGAAGAGGCTTAATCGGTTCAAACAAAGATGACGATGATCATTATGGAACCGATCATAATGAGGAATTCGATAATGCATATAATAATAAATGAAAAGATTTTACTTGTATCTTAAACTTATTTAAATAAAAAGTTATTTGTTTAATGTTTGATTTGTTTATGAGTATTTAGATACTGCGTTCAGCGTTTAACTTTTCTTTACTTTGCTTATTTAAAGCAGCTTAAATAAAAGAAGAGTTTGATTCGTTTATCGGTATTTTTTATTTATTCAAGCTTCTTTAAACAAGCGCCGTAAAATAAAACTTAACGTCGCGAAGTTTTAAACGAAAGATTTAGATGGAGTTTAAATAGCGTTTAAAACGAACTATTTAGATATGGTTTAAATGGAACATTCGATTGACCTACGTTCTAAATCGAAACTAAATTAAATCTAAACATTTAGAACGAACATTAACTAAACGTTGATTAAATGTTCGAATGCCGTTGGGAAGATTCAAAATGTCCGACACATTTTGTATGAAACTATTTACTTAAGTTAGTTCCGCACGGAAATTGTTTGATTTAGCTTTTCAACGCAAATTAAATATTCAGAACACGTTTAGAATAGATTCCTAAACGCTTAGATCGACGTAAATGCCATCTAAACGTGATCTAAACCAATTTTAAACTAACAAATGGCAGTTGGGACAAGTAGTCTAAGTAGTGTTTTGCAAATAAGTAATTTAAGGTTGACTGTTATTAACAAAAATAAATTACATATTTTACTGTAAAATTAGTAGACTAATTGCATTTTCCATAGATGGACAGAGTAAAGCTGCTGGAAAAGCAATGCTACACTTGTTGCCGATAACAAGAAAGAAGTTCCTAACTACAAAGGAGTCGTTTGATTTGTTAACTGCATATCAAACGGTGAGTAGTTTGGACGCATTGTTGTTTATATTTGTTAAAATACACATTTATCACATAAAGTCTTTATTTTCTTAACTTATGAAAACCTTTAAAATGAATTTAATTTATTCATAGGCAAAACTGTGAATGTTTTAAGTTTGTTTGGAATTGAAAATGTTCTAGTTCGTATAACGTGGACTTATTATTTTATATTTAGCCTAGCATTAGGAATTATATGGATGCTCCGCGAAACTCGGCTCATCCCAAGTTAATTCTTGACAAGATCACTGGGAGAAACGTTTGCCACGGAAAGGTTTGCTTAACTAAATTTTTTGATTTTGGGATGCTTGGATTACATGTTTAATTTGTTTTAGATTTTTAACTTGGAGTGTCCTTACGATTTAGAAAATTTTTTAAATGCTTGTAATTTAAAATATAATTTAACCTTTGGCAAGGAAAGAATGGTTGAAACCATTAACAGTGTAGCTCAACTTTTTCAACTGTAGCATATACCAACTAGTGATCACCATTAATGATGTATGATAGCATGGCATAGTTAAAGTGACAACAAAATTGTATAATTCAGTTTTATTATTTTGTTTGGTCATCATGCTACAGTTATTACATTATATTAGCTCGAAAATTAGGCTGTAATAAAAGTCATCTTGTCACATTGCCTCCTAATGCTGCAGTTGTTAATATATATATAGAATATTTGGCTGTTTAAATTACTTTGTAAATTTGTATGCATAAGCTAGATTTATTAGATTGTATTCACTTGAATATTTGATTGTACCCAAGACAGCAAACTTACATTGGCCAACATAAGTTTTAAATTAAGCAAATTTATTCCGTTAGGCCAAAATTTAGGCAATGTTTTTTTCGGCGTAATATTTCAATTATTCAAATCCGTTTTTCGAAATATTGTACTATGTTGGGCCAACATTTGACTAATGTAATATCGGCTCAATATT